GCTGCTCTCTTCAGTCCTCTGTGCTCGTGTAAGATGTCAGATAAACCACTAAAAACATGCATCTTTTTGTGGTCATGTCCAAATAAGGAATTCCAGGTCTAGGCTGTTTTTCTTTATGGGAGAATCGAAAATGGCTGTGGTAAATAAAAGTAGTATGTGGTAAAACAGCTGATATGTTTTATTCTGTGTACACTGTAAAAAATGAGAACTCAACCTAAAATGATACAATAACAGATTACACAGCTTTTCTTGAGTTGACTCAGCTTGAGGACACCAGAGTTCACCCAACTCAAACTTCTTAGTTGAGTCAAAAGTTCTCCCAGCTACTATTTCTAGGTCTGCATCTCAGTTAGATAAACAAAACTTAATTTGTGTTTTTTTTTACTCGATTTTCCCACTAGCTGGCCCTCCTTCTATCACACAGTCCCATCTGGCATATTTTCCTCTTGGGCTTCCGAATATGGACAGCTGTGGCATTGCTGGGATTCAAACTCACAACCTCCTGATGTTAGGATGAATCATTAGACAGTTGCACCACATGAGACTGCGCCATGCTTTAAAGTTAAAACAACAATTATTCTCTCCAGTGTATTAAACATTTGTAGACACAAGATCTGAGTTGCTTCATGTGTTCCTGAGTGGTGCAGTGGACTAAGCCGTCACCCCAATGGAAAGTTGTGACTTTGAGCCCCAGCGATGCCATAACCATTCATAAGTGTTCACCCAGGAGGAAAAATGTCTAGTAGGGTTGTGTGATGGAAAGAGTCCTGGCTAGTGGGGAAGTTGAGTATAAAACACTAGTTATTTTATTTACCTCACTGAGATGGAGAACTAAAAAAATTTGACCAAACTAAGAAGTTTGAGTTGAGTCAACTCAACAAAAGCCATGTCATCAGTTACTATATCATTTTGAGTTGAGCTGAACCTGCACAGAACCTTTATTTCTAACAGTGAAGGGTATTTTGGCCAGTTTTGTGATGTCAGTTCAATGTGCAGCAGTGTTAGCTTGGAAGTAGCAGTATTTGTATTTCGACTCCTTAACAAACTGGTAATTTAGAGGACCTGGTTGCATTCCTTGGAAAAATGGATGCAGTTGGGATTGGCTAGTTGTACATTATTGCCTGCACTAGCTTTGGCTAGTAGAATCCCACTTTCTGTGCTTCGATTAGTAGTTGAATCCCAACTTCTGTACTAGGAATAGCTTTCCTGAGCTAATATTGCTAGCAGTATTCCAACTCCTTAGCTAAGAATGGCTTGTCCTACCTGTTGAGCTAGGATTGGCAAGCTGAGGTAAGATGCCTGGTACTGTACCACCTCCTGTGCTAGGATTGGCTACCAGTAACTTACATCCTGTGCTATGATTGGCTAATAATGTCCTGCCTGGTACTTGCACGCAGGATAAAGTATGTCGGCTTTGAAATACTTCTGTTCACCACAAGATGGCAGCGATTTTTGTAAAAGCCATTGATTTTTCCCATAGAGATAAACAGCTTAGACTCTTAGATTAGAGTTCCTTATTTAGTCATGGCGCCAACTACGAAATGGCAGCATGACTTCTGAGGTCCATTATTTGAAACCTATGAAGTTACCAGCATCGGATTGGAACCCTGTTATACATTTATGTTAACAAACTGGTGATGACTGGTTGGTATTATTGACAAACAACATGAATTCCAAACTTGCGAATGGTGATTCCAAACATTTGAATGGTGCCATAAACAGGTTAGCAGAAGGATCGTATGGGATGCATGTTAGAAACATGAAACCGGTCATCTCTCGACGGTTGACCCCTTTTCCTGACATCCACGCTGGCCGGCAGAATAAACATGACCAGTTGTTTTCCTCAGGGAAAAGCTGAATCAAAACACTCTGTCCCTGGCACACAACACACACACACACAACACACACACACACACTCTGAGCATTTGTCCTCTGTCTTTCAACATTGGCCAAAATAGCCAACCCTGCTTTTGTCAGGATGCAATTTGATATAATAGGCCTGTGTCATCTCTAATTTGTAGGCGGTAATTAGCGCACTAGTGAAAACCCTTTTCCCTAAAGCGACCGCCAGAAAGGTCATTCAGCCCCGGCTGCAGGACGAGCGCAATTTGTTCCTCCGGCTTCTTTCTGCAGCGAGAAAGCTCAACTCCCTCTCTCCGCCCAGCTCCGGGACGCTGAGTGGGGTGGTTTTGTCGGAGCTTTGGGACGAGCCCTTTTGAACCTCCTGTTCAGTTTGCACAGCATCGCTCTACCTCCAGCTCGCTCCTTCCAGCAAACACAAAGGAAGCTCACATTTAAAAGCTGAAGGCTGCAGCTCCAGCCCCCTACGGTACGCAGAGCAAAGGCTACGGGATGGATTCGTTAAATTCCCACTTGTGTTCTGACAAACGGCACCTCCCGCAGTAGGATTGGCTAGTAGGATCCCCCATTCTTTGCTAAGTAGTTCTAGTACCATTTCCAGCCCAAACATTGGCAGTTTCTGTCATGCAATGGAATTAGTAGTATTCTGATCCTGCACAGGGATTGGCTAGTTGTAGATTGTCACCTGGACTAGCTTTGGCTAGTAGTATCCCACTTCCTGAGCTAAGATTAGTAGTAGTATCCCAACTTCTGTACTAGGAATAGCTTTCCTGAGCTAATATTGCTAGTAGTATTCCGACTCCTTAGCTAGAAATGGTTTGTCCTACATGTTGAGTTAGGATTGGCAAGCTGAGGTGAGACATCTGGTACTGTGCCACCTCCTGTGCTATGATTGGCTAATAATGTCCTGCCTGGTGAGCTAGGATTGGCTAGTAATATCCCATCTCTTGCGCTAGCATTAGCTAGTAATGTTCTACAGTTTGAGCCAAGATTGGCTAGTAGTGTCCCGTCTCCTAAATTAGTATTTCCTGGTAGTGTCCCATCTCATATGCTAGGATTTAGCTAGTAATATCCAGCCTCGTAAGCTTGGCTACTAAAGCCGATTTTCTCACTGCATAGTACCGACTCGACTTCACCTTTTTTGGTTTTCCATTAGGCAAAGCTGGTACCTGGTACTATTTTTGGTATCACTATTCATCGAGGTTCCAAGTGAGCCAAAGTAACGTGGAAAAACTCCATACTACTGATTGGTCAGGGAGAATCGTCACTGGTCTCCTTCTGTCTCTCTGGGCTCTGCCACCTACTGAGGAAAGAGATGGCAATAAGTAGGCTGGCAGAAACAAGGCACAGGGGCACATCATCAGCTGCTTAGCCCACTGGTTCAGCCCGACCGGCTCTCCATCCTGCATTCGACGCTCAGCCACGCCCCCTTCTCCACATGGAGTTTATCAAACATGTTTGATTTTTTCAGACCGACTCTGAGCGTAATCTAGTGTGAACTGGTCAGCGACTCAATCTGAACGGATTCCTGCAACAGCCAACGAAAACTGAGAGCCCGAAAGAAGAAAATACAGCAAGTAAACAAAGAAAAGTGGTGAAAAGTCTCTCACGTGTTGAGTGAAGCTTTTGAACGAGCTGAGTTTAAGACACGAGCACAATCGAGTTATGTGCATGTAAAACTCTAAAAAATACCAAATTGGTCACATTTTTAAATCCGTGATCCTCACTTAAACACGTTTACCTGCTGCTTCTTTACTGCGTCAGTGCAACCGGCAGAGAAAACAGCAGCAGCAGCTCCACGTTTATTTTTGCGTCTTCTGGTAACAGGAGAACGTGAGAGATCGCAAGAATTCACGTGAGTTTGCGCAAGTTCAGTGAGCTCCGTTTGGTTCAGCGGTAGCTTAAAAGTTGAGTAGTGTGTGACCCCTAATGTTTCAGTCGCCCAAAAAATCTGCTAAAAACAGTCGGATAGTGTGAGATGCCCAGTCTTATTATAATCTGTTAAGACTTTAAAAGTCATGTAAAGAACCCAAGGATTATTCCGACTGATCTGAAACGCGATCAGGAGTCCAAAAAGAGAATTGGGGCTAAAATTGGGGTAAAAGTTGTGTAGTGCAACCCCAGCTATGAAAGGATGTGAAGTGAGTGCAGATAAGTGAGGCTTTTGTTTGTTTGTTTGTTTTTAAATATTGCTGGGAACAAATAGAGCTTTCTAGAACTTCCTCTCTCTTCATCTGATGAGATGTGCTCTCCATTGCGCCATGCTACAACTCCGCTATCGATCCAATAAAAGAGGGCAAGCGCACAGGTATTAATACCTGCAACCCCTCCATTACTGACAAGTGATTTGCAGCAAACCAGCCGTGATCGCCGAAGGTTTCTTTCCTTCTCTCATCTTCTTTCGGCAATAAAAAAATAAAATAAAGCAAAACAGAAATCAATAGCGGTGAGATTGTTGCTGCTCGGCCCTGCATTTCAATTTCGGTAAATGGCAGAAGGAGCGCAAACGTACAGCTGCTTATCAAGCCTTACCCTTTTTTTCTTTTTTTCTTATCTCTCTCGGTAAAAAAATGCAGTGTGACATTTAATGCACGTTTAACACTCAATGAGTTTACTGGAGAATCCTGCAAATGTTATCACCTCTTTAATTTGCTTTTATAAACAGACACAAACAGGTGGGGTGCGACGATTAGACCCAACCTGCTAAAATCATTATGAAGTCATTATGCATGTGCATCACTATCACAAACCCCCCGCCCCCCTTTCCTTCATACCTTGCCGGTGGCCTGGCTAATAACACATTTTGCAATATGCAGCTAGTGATTATGATTCCAAACACCGCTCTTGTGTTTCCAGAGATGGGCCTCCCAGCGTGTTTGACACATCCCCTCATAAACGATGGTGAGGCAGGCTGTGTTGACGTTGCCTTGTGCTGACAAGCATTCACGGTTTAGTTGGTGCTCTGCCAAAACATTTCAGTAGCTTTGTTGGGCTGCAGACTCTGTCATTAAATCGCCTTGACAGGCCCCCCCCCCTTACCAAACAATGTTCCAGTCCAATGGGACGAGGACAGTGAAAAGCTGCAAGACATCCAATCTCTTCTCCTAATCATTTTTTGTTGTTTGTTTGTGTCCATACAGGCTGACGGAGGCAGTTCCCCAACATCTGGAGTCTCCAACGGTCCTTTGTCCAGTCAAGACCAGTGCTGAGGCACTAGAACTACCAGTTGTCGACTCAGAAGCACCCAGGATTACAAGTGGGCCAGCTAGAGCCATCACTGTCCATCCAGATCTACTAGTTGACCAGTCAGAAGCATTACTGTCCAGTCTCCCAATCATAACCATCTTTACTCATCCAGACCTATCATTCCTCCAGTCAGAGCCAACTGGTAGAACCATCACCGTCTGCCCAAGATTCATTTGTCCAGGCAGAAGTACCAGTCGTCCAATCAGAATCGTTGCTGTGTAGTTGAAGCTGGTCGTTATCCAATCAGAAACGGAAGAGAGATCTGGAGAAATGGGTGGGGCCAAAGTCCTACTCGTGATGTTTGTGATCGGCCTAGAAAGTGGAATGTGTGTCAACTGGAATCCAGTCCCACGGAAGACGGTCCGACATAATGGTGAGTGGCCTGTGGCCAGACTGCTTCTAGAAATAAACGTTTAGTTGACCTATCCATGCTCCGCCCACAAATGCATTCTTAAGCCTGGTCTAAGTACACAGTTTTAAGCCTGATTTCCCCCTTGCGACAAATTTTCACAATAATAAGCGATTTTCCATTTCGGGAGCTCAATCGGAAACGACTGAAGGCACAGATATTAAATAAACAGCTGGACTGTTTAAGGTGGAACGAGTAATTTATTACAGGTTTTTATTCTGTTAGCAATTTTGAATGCTTGTTAACAAGAAAAGGACGATAATCAAATACAAACAAATACATTTGTGGGATTCTTTGGTCTCTTTTTCAGCCGTCTTTCTTTTTTTCCCCATAATTTTCTGTTTGGAGCCTCTGAAAAACCTCTGTTTGGAGGGCCATGTAGCCCTAACACTTCACCCTACCCCACTAACTCAGCTACCCCTAGGCACAAATGTGCAAAACGGAGGGGTAAGGGCTGAGTGGTAGGGGCGAGGGGAGAAATGGGATTGGGCCTAGTAGATTGGGTCAGGTACTGATGTTGGATGGTCAGTTCTGGAACACTTTATTTCATCCCAAAGCTGTTGGATGGAGCTCCATCACTCCAGAGAACCCAGTTCCACTGCTCCACAGTCCAGTGCTGGGGGGCTTTGTACCCCTCTAGCCCACGCTTGGCATTGGGTCTGGTGACCTTAGGCTCATGTGTAGCTGTTCCAGAACGTCCCATTCTATTGGTGTTTAGCTTTTCGCTAACTAGTTTATTGTTAGGGAGCTGTTTCAACATCTCCGGCTATCATGGCTAAACTGAGGGGCTGGCAATGTATGTTCTTAACAAGAACTAGGCTGGTCAGCTAGCTAACAGGCTAAAAGATACACAACAGCCTAAACACCTCCATCATTAACATCACAGGTATGAAAGCACCTATGGTGTGATAAACTGTAAAACAACAGTATAAAAGTTATAGTTCAGTCAGAAGTCAACTCAAATCCAGGCTGAATCCCAAACGGCTCTGTACTCCCTAATTAGTGTGCTGGCTGTGGAACTTTAGAAATTCTAGCCTCTGCAGCCGAATAGTGCATCGTTTATCGAGTGTGGATGGGATGAGTCCCAAATCACTATTTCTTAGCTGTATTTTGCTCTGTTGGGCTGCAGGATCCAGTATTTAAATTCCTACATAGTGCACTATGTAGGGAGCAGGGAACCGTTTGAGATTCAGCCCCAGCATAAGAAGAGGAGCGCCGCTCGATTGGTGCTAAATAAGACTCACTGTGGTAAATTACTTTCTGAAAAGTCGTGTACTTAATCATGTTTTATGTTGGTCGCCGTTTTATAAAAGCAATAAGCCACTTGAGACGTGCATTACTGCGATTTTATCACGGGGAGGGGAGTTTTATCCCAGGATAAAATCGCAGTATTGCACAGCCTCAAATGGCTTATTGCTTTCATTATCCAACCAAACTTCAGACGAATCCTAGATCAGGGAAAATAGTAGTTTGTCGTTCTTTTAAGCGTCTTTAGGCTTCTTTGTGCCCCTCATCTCATCCCTGTTATATTCCACTCTCCCTCTCTCTCCCCTCTCTTCTCTTCACCTTTGTGCCTCTTTACCTCTCGGGGCTTTTTGCTCCTGCTTTCTGTTCCCCTGTGTTGGGAAGGGTGACTGGGTTTGGGGGCGTGAGCAGCTTTCTCAGGGCGATCGGGTTACTGCGGGCCTTTACTGGCTCTTGTATAAAAGCACTCGCTCTTCTGTCCTTTCTCACTCCCTCCATTTGTTCTTGTTCTCCTTCTTTCGTTCTCTTTTTCATCCACCCCCTCTTTTCTTTCTGTGCGAGTGCGTGAGGGTATGAATGATATGGTTGTGGAAAGTGGAAAAACGTATTGACGGGCGATCAGCGCAGCACTAAAACACACAGCGCAAATCAAACAGCAGATAATACAGAGGATTAAACAGCAGGAAGCAAAGCTCGCTCTCTCTCTCTCTCTCTCTCTCTCTCTCTCTCCCTCTCTCTCTCTCACTCGCTCTCTCTCACTCGCTCTCTATTACTATCTCTCTCTCTCTCTCTCTCTCTCTCTCTCTCTCTCCCTCTCTCTCTCTCACTCGCTCTCTATTACTCTCTCTCTCTCTCTCTCTCTCTCTCTCTCTCTCTCTCTCGCTTGCTCTCTCTCTCTATTACTCTCTCTCTCTCGCTCGCTCTCTCTCTGTCTGTTACTCTCTCTGTTTCTCTCTATTACTCTCTCTCTCTCTCTCTATTACTCTCTCTCTCTCTCTTGCTCTCTTGCTCTCTCGCTCTCTCTATTACTCTCTCTCGCTCGCTCGCTCGCTCGCTCACTCGCTCTCTCTCTATTACTCTCTCTCTCTCTCTCTCTCTCTATTACTCTCTCTCTCTCTCTCGCTCGCTCTCTCTCTATTTCTCTCTCTCTCTCTCTCTCCCTCTATTACTCTCTCTCTCTCGCTCGCTCTCTCTCTCTATTACTCTCTCTCTCTCGCTCGTTCTTTGTCTGTCTGTTACTCTCTCTATTTCTCTCTCTCTCTCTCTCTATTATTCTCTCTCTCTCGCTCTCTCTCTCTCTCTCTCTATTACTCTCTCTCTCTCGCTCGCTCTTTCTCTGTCTGTTACTCTCTCTATTTCTCTCTCTATTACTCTCTCTGCTCTCTCTCTCTCTGTTGCACTCTCTCTCTATTACTCTGTCTTTCTTTTCCTTTCTCCCTCTCTCTCTTCTTTTTCTCTCTACTTCCTTCTCTTTCTTTCCTTTCCTCTCTCTTTCTTTTTCCCTTCTTTATCCTCTCTATTTCTTCTCTCTGTCCATTTTTCTCTGTCGCTTTCCTTTCCTCTTTTTTTTCACCCTGTCTTTCTCTAGCTCTTTTTCCTCATTCTGTGCCCCTCTCTCTCTCTCTGTCTGTTTTTCTCTCTCACTTTCCTTTCCTCCTTCTTTCTCACTTTTATTTGCTCTCTGTTTCCCTCTATTTCCCTCTGTTTTCTCTTCATTACTCTTTCTTTTCTCTGTATTTCCATCTCTGTCTTTCCTTTCATCTCTCTTTTCCTCTGTCTTTAATTTTCTTTCTTTTTTCCCTTCTTTTTCTTCTCTATTTCATTTCTCTTTGTCTGTTTTTCTTCCACTTTCTTTCTTGCTGACAGTCGCCCCCCTCACTTTCTCTTTTCCTTTTTCCCTCTCTCTTATTCTTCTGTCTTTCTTTACTTTCCTCTCTCTTTTTCTCTCTGTCTTTATCTCTGTTTTCCTCATTCTCTGCCCCTCTCTCTTCTTTTCTCTCTCATTTCCTCCATGTCTTTAATTTTCTTTCTTTTCTCTTTTTTTTTCCATTGCCTCTCTTTTTCCTCTCTTTTTCTTCTATCTGTCCGTTTTTCTCTTTGGCTTGCCTTTCCTCTTTCTTTCTCATTTGGTTGCTCTCTCTTTCCATTTTCTTTTTCTCCAGTCTCTCTTCCGCCTCTTTGCCTATCTTCCTTTCTTCCTCTCTCCCTCTCTCCTCTCCCTTTTTATCTCTCTTTTCTATCTCTTTTCCCCACTCTGTAAACCGCCCCCCCCCCAGACTCTTGACTCGTCTCTAATTCTAACAGCAGTAGAGACTGAGAGAGGGTGAAGGCCGAGTTCATACCGCCTTAAATGGCAAAGAAATGGAGAGAGAGAGAGGCAGAAAGAGGGGGAAGAAAGTCCAAAAAAGAGAAGAAAAATACACAGAGGGAGTGCAGTGTGTGTTTAACTACTGTTCCAGGTCGCGCGTGTCTTTGTGCGAGAACCAAACCACATAAACAGAAACCCTGTGTATTCTGTTCACACACACACACAGACTTGTTTCTGTGAATTGTGGGGCCGTTACATATACTTTTCCTTAAGACTTACCCAGACCTAAACCTGAGCCACTACTACTGACCCTTAACCCTAAACCTTACCCTACCCCTAACCTTAACCCTGAGCTTAAAATGTAATCATTTTCACAAGCTGGTTCTCATAAGGAACCCCCTCCCCCGCCCCAACACACACACACACACACACAAACACAATGTCAGTGTATGAACAGGTTTTGGTACCCACAATGTGGCATAAACCAGGCCCACTGTCACACACACACTCACACAGTGCAGAAAGGAGGGTTGCGCGCGCGCGTGTGTGTGTGTGTGTGTGTGTGTGTGTGTGTGTGTGTGTGTGTGTGTGTGTGTGTGTGCATGTAGAATGCTTAGACTGGCAGTCTGAGGGATTTAAATCTTTGACTGTGTGTGTGTGTGTGTGTGTGTGAGTGAGAGAGAGAGAGAGAGAGAGATTGAAGTGGAGATAATACCCCCCTCCTGCACAGGCTCCGCCCACTAAATCACTCAATGAACTGTGGCTATAACTTTGAGATAGACTGAACAAGAGACAAGAGAGAGGGGAGAGGGAGGTAATGAGACAGAGAGAGTGAGAGAGAGAGAAGGAGAAAGAGAGCCGAAGGGAGAGAGAGAAAAGAAAGAGAATGAGAGACAAACAGTGAAGGAGGGTGAGAGAACGGAGAAAGAAGGAAAAGAGGGAGGAAGAGCAAGAGAGTGGAGAGAGAAAGTTAGAGAAGTGAGAGAGAGAAGGAGACAGGAGAATGAGAGAGACAGAAGAAAGAGAGAAAGTGTGTGTGTGTGGGGGGGTTGTGAGAGAGAGAAGAAGAAGGGAGACGGAGAGAGGAGAGAGAAGGAGACAGGAGAAAAAGAGAGACAGATAGAAGAAAGAGAAAAAGGAAGTGTGTGAGAGAGAAGGGAGAGAGACAGAGAGAAAGTGTATGAGAGAGTGCCAGCAAGAGACGAAAGAGGGAAAGAGAAATGGAGAGAAGGAGTGGAGTGTGTGAGAGGGAGAAAGACAGCGAGGGGAGGAGAGATGGAGAAGGAATAAAAGGGAGAGAGAGAGAAAGCAAGTCTAACGGAAAATTAAAGACAAATTTGAAAGGATAGCAGACGAAAGCTTTGGCATGAACTGAGAGGGATGGTATGAATATACAATCAAAACATGCTGA